CTCAGTAATTATACTGATGTAGGTACTGTGTGTGGTTCCCATAAAAGTATGCTTACTGAACAAGTACTTGTATGGGTACTCGCATCTGTAATTTTACTGAGGAAAGCTATACAGGGTACCCTATATTTGTCGCGTTCTGTGTAGCGACTATTCATTCACCGTTTTCTTTTTCATACACGGCTCCATATAAACAACTGGGTAAGACATAAGAAATTAATCTATTTTCATACTAATTTTTTCTAGATTATTTCTTAGTCGAGAACATGCCGGTCTTGATCGTAGATTAAGAGCAGACCACTCTGAAGGGGTCCGATGGATACCTGACCAACTGAAGTCGGGTCAGATCTCGGCATTGTACCTGCTAAGTTTTCGGAATTGAAAAAATTAAATTGAATAAAATCGAAAAAAAATGTAGTAAATTGCTTTGAGAGAAACAAAAATTAAAAAAATTAAAAGTCAGGTTCGATCCTGAACATACTGAAATTTTTGAAACAGGGTACCTAGAAATACTATACAATAGTACCCAATTGAGTATCTGATCAGTACCTTTAAGTACCCAGTTACTACACATTTTGTAGCAGGGTACTTGTCAAAGTACCACTTAGGTACCTGAAAGTACTTCCAAGTACTTTGGTACCCAAAAGTTCCTGTGACATACTGATAACAGGGTACTTTTTCGGGTACCCTTAACTCAGTACATTCTCTTGGGGTAGATCTCATTACTCTATAGCCACACCAATACATACTCACAGCCTGTGTCCCTTGATCAGTAAATCGTCATGAGAATCGTCAGTTCGAGTTGACCTTATCACAATTGAATGATTTTATACTTGAATACTATACTTTCTATCTGTTCAAAATATAACTCATCTTTTTTTACATTGTTTTTTTTCATTTGGTGCTCAAATGTCTTATTTTTTTGTGCTCATTTCACATATAATAAATTTAGTGCTCAATTGTCTTATTTTTTGGTGCTCATTTCACATATAACTAATTTGGTGCTCACTTGTCTTATTTTGTGGTGCTCAAAAAACATATCGTCCTATATGGGCGTTACCAACGGTATGGTATTTCGATTCTTGTTTTTATATGTAGCTTCAATTAGCTATTATGAAAGTGTGATTTTTTTTACCAATTATAATATATGTATGATGCTAATGATCAATTATAGTTTCACGTCTACTATCCTTCTAAAATAAAAAGTTAGCAAGTGTGTCTTAATAATTATTTTTTTATGGTGTCACCCATTCAATTCATGAACATACATCAATTCTTAGGCAGAAAATTAAAAGAGAATAAAGTTTCAGCAACAAAGTTTTATTATCAAATAGTTCATGAAGAAATATAGCTAACTTATTATGGGCTATATTTACGGATAGGATGCTTAGTCATATTCAAATTACATAATGCAGCAACAATCTGCACTACTTTCGTAATTTTATGGAGATCATCAACAGCTCCTCTGTAAACACTACCCAAAATTGCATAAGTTTTTAGATGTTGATTAATGTTTTCAATAGCTGCTCGTGCATTAACGAAACAAATAATAAAATAAACGATGTCTTATTATGCACGACATAAGCACTAAGAATCAAATAAATTTGCAAGAAAAAAGCAGATAGGAAAAAGAATATTATCGCTCTTAGATACCTCACAGACGATGATAAGGATGTGTATAAGTAGCATATGTGAATCATTCAAGACAATATGATGAAAATAAACAAAATAGAGAAAAAAAGTGCTATTTGTGTGATTCGAAACACGTATCTTATACCATCCTATTCGATTTCCTATAATAGATGTCTTCCCGAAATTTCTACTCCACTATAGGGTGGGTGTGGATGTCCGTATAGAAGAAAAAAACCCACACTACCACGCCCACACCCCACACTTCACACCCACACCCATGACATTTTAAGCCTTCCTTCAATAAAGCTTTCAAAGAGAATATTATCAGAAAAAAGTAAACCTTTTAGACATTCTTTATCTTTTGTGAAACACGATCTCAAATGAGTATTGAAGTGTTTAGGAGCAGAAATTTGCACCAACCCCCTCCCCTCACAGACCGTGACAGAGAACTCCCAGAAGCCATCACAGACCGTGACAGTGAATCTCCAGAGACCATCACAGACCGTGACGGAGAATCCACAAAGACCATCACAGACCGTGACAGAGAACCCACAAAGACCATCACAGATCATGACAGAGAACTCCCAAACACCATCATGGACCGCAACAGAGAAACTGTAGATTTGAAGCACCAAATAAAGAGTCAGCCACAAATCTATCGTAAACAAATGGAAGAAAACGTTGTCCATTTAATCCGTAACAATAGGTCCATCGTGTTTCACACTTTTAATCCCGCAAGGGATTGTGCTAACAGCTTTTGGATTTTTGAATCGGTTCGGTTAGGTTCGGTTCAAAATTTTCAAAACATCGGTCGATTTAGTTCGATTCGGTTCTAAAAAAACGCGAACCAATCCCATCACTGACATTCACTAGTACGTACTTGTATCTATAGATGGAGACTTAGTTGAGTGTGATACTCTTATCGTTAATTTTCGATCAATACAGTATATTCTATGGCATCTTGGTTAAATTATTTGCAATGTTTGTAACTTAAGTCCTGCGTGTGCGATTAATTGGCATAATCCCATATTGTGTACTAAGTTCATCTACTACCTAAAGTCGGTTGATCAAAAGTTTTCGTTCAAAAATCAATCAATTTGTGTAGAAAAACGAAATTAGAAAAAGAATATTTTACCAATCTGAAAACTTCAAGCAGTTGTTGCAGTGACGATAGTCCTATGTTCTTGTTTTTATTTCATTTATGAAATACCATTAGTAATGAGTGTTCAATATATAGAGCGAAATTTGAAGCTTCTATCGCAGAGACAGATCAATTGCGAGAACAAAATTTCTCTTAATCATGTGACGAAGTTGACAGAAAACCCAACTCAGCCAAAGGCAGAACGAGATTTTTGTAATATATAGATCATCAGCAAAGTGTGGATATTGTGCAAATTGATAGGATCATAATATCAAAACCATGAAGAAGAAAATATTAGTTATGGTGTTATCTGCAACCTTTCATTTATTTTTTCTCAATTGCAGATCTCCTAAACATTCCCTCAAATGCCAGCTGGGAACAGAATGCTAGCACCATCGCTGGAGGCCGCGGTGAAGGTGTTGCGCTCGACCAACTGCGCGGACCGTTCGGTCTCTATGTGGATTATGATGATGCAACTACATTGATCGCTGAGCGCAATAATCACCGTATTGTGGAATGGAAGTCTGGTGCAACCTGTGGTCAACGGATCTTCGGTAGTTATTTCAAAGGAAAACAAACTGATCAATTGAATGAACCATCGGATGTTCATGTCGACAAAGAGACAGATAGTCTCATCATTTGTGACTCAGTCAATCGACGAGTGATCCGATGGTATCGTGGAAGTGGAAGGTATGGAGAAGTGCTCATTGGAAATATCGGATGTTGTGGATTGACAATGGACAATGAAAAACTTCTCTATGTCACTGACTTTGTGAAGCATGAAGTTAGGCAATATCGAATAGGAGAAACTACTGGAGAAGTAGTGGCGGGTGGCAATGGACAAGGTGATCGTCTCAATCAACTTAATTGGCCATCTTACGTCTTTGTCGACCGAGATCATTCTGTTTACGTTTCGGACCAACACAATCATCGTGTAATGAAGTGGGTTAAGGGAGCGAAAGAAGGGATTGTCGTAGCAGGTGGTCGAGATAAAGGAGATCATGCGAGCCAATTATCCTATCCTCAAGGAGTGCTTGTCGATCTATTGGGCACAGTCTATGTAGCAGATTTTCAGAATCACCGAGTAGTGCGTTGGCGCAAAAATGCGACTCAAGTGGATATTGTTGTTGGGAACAATGGTCGAGGAGCTAACGCAAGCCAGTTGAGCTTTCCAGTAGATTTGTCATTCGATCGGCACGGTAATTTATATGTGACGGACTCAGGTAACAATCGAGTTCAGCGGTTTGCAATTAAAAGAAGCTGATCCTTGTCTAACATCAGCAATAATCATGAAACTTTCTGCAAAATCCATATGATCCGTCTGACAACCTTCTAGCGTCATATTGAAACTTCTCTAATTGTATTTCCGAACATTATCTAATATTTCTTGATCGAAAAAACACTCCCAATAGTCTTCATCTAATTGGTATCTTCTGCACAAGGATGTACGTGTTGGTGTGGATAGGTGTTCACATGAATGTGCGTGAGCCTATACGTGTCAGTACGTTTGAGTGTAAGTGTGGGTATAAGGGAAAAGAAAAGAACAACATCCAAACCGGAGGGATGCGCAAATACAATTACAGATTGTATCGACTAATCTTTTAGATACCGACTTAACATCATGCACTTCAATGGAGCGCCATGTAATGGCATGTAACTATTTGTAATACAATGTAATGGCCGTATGTAGCGCTATACATTGGGGAGAGCTGACACAATTTGTATTCGTATTTGCACATCTATATTAAAATAATATAGAATGGTGTAGTCCATCCAACATGGGTGTGGGTGTGTGGGTGTGAGTGTGGATGGGTGTGGGTGTGGGTATGGGTATGGGTGTGTGAGTGTGGGTGTGGGTGTGGGTGTGGGTGTGTGAAGAGAACGCTCCCATGCACACTCACACCCCACATCTATACCCACACCTACAGACCCCAAACCCACACCCTCACACTCTCATCCCCTATATAGTGACAAAGAACGAGACAGAAAGTTGAATTTCTTTCCTTTCTAGCGACTATCTCTTCAAGAAAAGAAATCTATTCTTTGAAGCCATTCATGTCAAGCATGACCATTTTATTGGTATGTCTATGTTGCCGTCACAACACCTCGAAAAATAATCTTCTTTTATTAGGACCAATGACACGACAATAAAGTTATTGACGTGTAATTATAATGGGGTGGAATAGTGAGGTTATCACCATCGGAAGCATATAGAATGAAAGCGTTTTCTTTATTTCGTGAAACGTGTAGAAAATGACAATGTTACTGGTTGTTTCCGCCGCATAAACATTCGAATTCCTACAAAAGCAATGACAATGACGAATTCTATGCTAAGTATAACAATAAGTGTGGTGGTGCTCCAGTACAGCTTTCTAGATGATGATGATGGCATAGTTGTGGATGTTGTCGATGCTATGAACGTTGTTGATGATGTGGATGTGGATCTTATTGATGATGATGATGATGATGTTGACGGTTTCGGACGCTTTGCAGCTAACATGTTGAGAAGAGTACCTAATCTTTGACCTCCTTGAATAATCCGTTTTTCAATAACCGGGATATTCTTCTCATAGTAAACATTGCCCAAGTGGAAAGTGGCCGAAGCATTCATGGTTATGTTCTTCTCATCTATATAAACTTGTTCACAGACCAGTTTCACACTTTCTGCAATCCACTGTTTGAAATCACCGTCGTCATTTGTTGGTGTTTGATTGCGCATAAGATCATAAAGATATTCGTAGTATATGGTTATGTTCGATTTAAAATCACGCGACATACGAATGTGAATAAGACCAGAATCCCAAAGAGAATGGAGATTTGTCTCGCGTGTACTATTCATGAAAAATCCTACAGACAAAAAGATGAATTCAAACAATTATTACTCGGCGTCATAGTTTGTCCTTACCCTTCACTTTATTCCCACCCAAATCTCCTTCAAAGCTAACATGCAATGGTTGATGGACATCACCAGCAAAATGAACAAGAAACATGAGTGCTTCTTGATGTTGTACACGGTCTAGGTCAGCAGCGATAACACGTTGTGAATAATTTCTTAGTGCACCGTCAATGCAACTATCATTCTTACAATCTCTTTCTCGATCGTAATTACAATTCCAGTCTGGCAAATCAATGTAGTGCAATGGTCGAGACCAATTCCAATTTCGGTAGTCAAAATGATTAGAGTTTTCGTGAATGATGTCATCTGGCCACGAAGCTACAGCCGTTAAATTACCAGATACGAACCAAGGTAGAAGAGGTTTGATCCACTCGGATGCATCTATAGTCAATTGACTCTCGGCTAGATGAACAACAAGTGCATGTCCTTCGATACCCCATCCGTGAACGCTTTTTGCGGTTATTTCAAAAATCAAGACAAGTAACAAGAATGATACAGGCATTTAACTTAACTTTTGCTTGATGAAGATAGCAAGAGTATATTGTTGGTATGAATCAACTCAAGAAAATAAAAGTGTAGAACGAAAAAGAGCTGCAGAATGCGAGCAAGCAACAATATATCGAATATTATCTAGCGTGATGGTGAGTAGGTGTTGTATATGAGTGTGTCTCTTATCTTCACTCATGTTCTTTATAAAAATTGCAATTTGGAACTTACTGTAGTGCTTTGCAAATATCAAATCATAATAAGAAGAAAACACACATGGAAATATGATTCGAAGTATGTGTTAAAACAAAAAATGCTATGTCATTTGAGCAGTGCATTGCACAAAGAGTAGGAAGATTTTGTGTGAGAAAATGGATTCTATTCTTCAAAAAACATTAATTCTTCAAATTTAAAGTTTCATTTCATAGTTCAAGTTTTCACAAATAATGAATACTAATGTTCACTTAAAACTGTGATCCATCGAAAAAGAAAGATCTTATAAAAATTATTTATTTCTCAGTAATAACGAAATGCGGTTTTGTTTTATTTTTTATACTCGTTCTTATCAATAAATAGACGTTGAAAAGGAAAACGAAATATTTTCGAAACATTTTTGAATTATTAACAATTAGTATTGTGCTAAATACTGTCTATTGTGTAGATACTTTTTATCGAAATGTAGTCTGTCTAATTCTATATCGATCTGTATCTGAAACAGTTCACAGCTTTTGTTGAATTACAGAACAAGTTATTGGATACTAAAAATGTACTAAAGTTTTTTCCTCTGAGCAAACCTTTTTGGATAATAATATCAAAAACATACTTTATATTTTCTGACTACACTGTCATTCATAAAAAATAAAATTCACTCTCAAGTGTTTCAGAACTTGTACTCAGATCTTTACTTTAGAAAAAATTAAAAAAAATGATGATCATCAATGACAGTTTCGAAAAGATGGAGAAAAGAGTTATGAATAAAAAATTATAAAGATTAAGAATTTTTCTTTCACTGAAATAAATTAGATAACAAATAAGAGAGAACACAGCGACAAAATAAGTTCCACTTCTTTTTTTCTGTCTTCTTAAATCAGACCAATAATAATTATCTTCATGTTTTACTTTCAAGTATTGAAATTAATATCTTTGTTTTGAATTCTATAGTTAATAGTTTTCTCGATATTTATATTTATTGCGAATAAAAAACCAACTCAATGACTATTGTCACTATCAAAATAAAATATTGTACTTTACATTAGTAATGAATATTCTGTGTGCAAACTAGTACTTAGCGTGGATCACCATCCCAAATCTTATTGTTCAACATTGAAGATCAGTTTCTTTTCAATTAATCTATCTCAATGAATTTTTAATAAATAATTTCAATCGATAAAACTACTATGTATATTAAGCGACTAAAAAAAAACCTTTAGCAAGTGAAGTTTATCTTTAAAGTTGAAAAATAACACTCAGGAATCTTTCTTATGTGAACGTTTCGAAAGTTTTATCTCAGCAATAGATAAAAACAGAGTATTTATTTGGTTCAATCACATTCTGCATCAACACACAAATCCAAGTGCACCATCGACTATATCAAGGGACACGCGCGCCACTAGAGAGATACAATTTTAGCTGTGTACTAAAATACACAATGCAACAAAACTAATAACTGATCTAACTGTTTGAAATTGATTTTCCTTCGATTCAATAGTTAATACGATTTATCTGATTTTGTTTTGTCAAACATCAAAATTCTCAAGTATTATTTCTCTTATGATGTTATTGATTATAAATTTTTACCACATTCCAATAAATGAGTGCAATGAGGATATTGGTGTGAGTGTATGTGCGAGCATAAAGATCAAGCTTTCTGTTGCTCATAATCAACATTGTCATGTATGCTAACAACAACATACATTGAAAATCAAAATTCAGAGCTATGAACTTTGATTGAAAATGGATCTAATTGAACAATATTAGAAAAATCTACAATTGAAGTATATTGGCTGTTGATTTTGTTTACGAAAACCTAGTACTTTATTCGAAGTTGGACTTTTATCAAGCAATGAACTAAGCAATTGATGAAGCCTGCATGGTAATTATTGAATTAACCAAGATGCCAATATATTCTGTATTTTGTTCAAGTTTTTTTTCTTTTCACAGCCAGTTTGCACTCTCGGAAAGGCTGACTGTGTACTTCGTGAGAGCCTAAGTTTCAATAAACGACATTTCCAATTTGATGATTAGGTGTGTGGGCGTAGATGAGTGTGAGTGTGATTAGTTGTGGATGTGTCTGAAAGAAGAAGAACACTCACACTCAAACCCTCAAAGTAGGACGTATAATATGTTGAAATTATACAAAGAGAACTCTAAATTTTCATAGCGCTAGCCCTATTTATTGGGAAGATATATAGCACGAACTATAAAGATATTTGTGCGCCGTACAATACAATTTTCTATTTATACAGAAATATTTAGAATAATTAGTTTGCATCGACAATACAATATCAACCAAAACTATAATTTATTTCTTCATTATCTTATAGTCTTTTTTATTGGCTGAATGATCTTTTGCAGCATTGAATTCATTTAGTGTCAACATCATTACGAACTGAGTTTTTCAGATCTAGTAAATTCTTCCATTACAACATTCTTTCATTTTCAATTTTATTTTTTTCTAATTGGAAAAGAAAAAAATGTTGAAAGTGGAATTGACAGATCAGAAACTGTTAAAAAGATTGATCACAATGGATGACAAAAGATGAGCAAGGGTCATACTTTTATACACAGCCAATTAGAAATACATACTTTTCATTAACTATACTATCGACATCTAATAAAACTTTTGGCATACCCTGTCAAGTGAATAATGAAAAAATGGTCATTTTAATGACCATTTTTCCATTACTCAATCATTTTGACCATTATCATGTATGGTTTCTGGTGAATAATGAAAACATAGTCATTAAAATGCATTTTTGATATATAAAACAAATATTACGACCATTTATTATAAACTGACTCTATTTGTTTAATTTTTAAACTAATGCAGAAACTCTTGAATTTTTAGAAATTATATGATAATACGAATGCCTAATTTTGGATGTTTATTTTCTATCATAATATTAGCTTAAGAACATTCTTTCAAATTGGGATATTGATAAAAGATAAAAGTATTTAATAATGATCGATCTTCTTTGAATATTGGTCGAAAAGCAACTTTTTTTGAAATTTGATATGGTTGAATAATAACTGTAAAATCAGATATGGCACTACCTTGTAAAATATTTTTGCACATAAAATTTCTTCTACCGATGCGGAGTGCCAGTTGCTGAAGTAATTTTAACTTAGTTTAGAACTAGGCAGATTTCATCTCTATCAATTTAGTTTTTTTTAGTTATCAATTTCTTCATTTTACGATTTCATTTAAAATAATCACTATCGAATGAGATATATGTCTGTCAAGGATAAACAGTCATCTATTTCAATAATTTCTTTTTCTTTTAGAAGCGGAAAGCACATTATTTTTATTTTGCAACCAATTCATGCTGAAAAAATAGTAACCTTTAAATCACAGAATTACATTTGCACCAATAAAAGATTTTATTAGATATTATAAAGATTCAAGTTACTTTTCTCTTATGAAATCACTTCCATTGTCATCAGTACCCTGTATATTCGATATTTTATAATTCGTTCATTCCCATTGGTTGCCTTTAGTCTTTGTCTTGAGAGAAAGAATTGATCAAATATATGAGAATGCATGATATCGAATTCATTGATTTTACTCAATATGTTAGAAGGATGTTATTTCTCCTTTTCATAATTGAAACAAGTAAATAAGCTTTCTATTAAGTTTGACATCACTAACATAAAATTTAATGTATAATATTTTCGTGTATAAGTGCTTCTATAATTTTCAAATGACTTGAACTTTTATCTTAACTATGATTCAGACAGGCATTAACCTATCATTTTTTTATCAGCATTCTTTTGAATTTTTGGAGACTTTCTTGTGAGTTCTCTTATCCATATATCTATTGCTGTCTCTTACATGTAAAGAGAATTGCTTCACTTAATATCGTTTTCTTACTCAAGATTAAATAAAATACGACTAGCTCAAATGAAAAATAATTAAATTGCTACATATTTAGATTTTTCTAGAATCCAACTGATTCAGTTTTCTCTCACACAAAACTTTGATATCATATAGTTCACTAGTTGAGCATAAGGAATGTCTTCTACTTGTCAGTAAATTCTTCTCACCCCAAGTATTTTTTTTGGAAAGTTTCGTGTTCACTTTATGCGCCAGTTCAAAAATTTTTTAGAGATAGGAGGATATCCTGCCTTATACTGGCCAAATGAGAAGATCAATAGATTATGAGTATATCTTGCATGGACAGCTTTAATTTCAGTTTTTCGATTTCGTTTTTCAGAGTAACTAAATGTTTGTGTGCTTGAATTATATTTTATATATTACTGTTTTATCCATATTATATGTAAGAGGACAAGAGATATAATGAAGGATAGAAAATGATTAATTGTATTCTAACATGGCTGAGTCGCGTATTATTCATCGAAGAAGGTGCAATTTTTGAAATATAAGTAATTTCAGTACTAAGAAAAAATTATTTTTCACCTGAGCTAGTTGCGATTTCCTTTTGAACTGATTAAAACTTCGCTAACATAACTTCTATATCATAAACGATTTTTCTTCATCGTTTCACATCATTATTATATTTTTTAATGCCATAATAACTGTTCAGTTTATGGGTAAAAGTGAACACGTAGAAAGGAGTCGATAAATGAGTTTTTCCCAGTTTACGTCAAAAAAACATTTTAATCTAGCCTTGCTGACGTTTTGTATAATTACCTTTTGAGCAGATCCTCACGACCGATTTTTGGTTAATATAGTTCAACTCTGCCTTTTTCTCACATAGAAAAATAAAAAAGAATTCTCTTATGTCGTGCAACTAAATATGCTTTTGTAGACGAAAAAGTTGTTCTAATCAAATGTTA